TCCTACCCTGGGGGTTTTTAAGAGGAGGTTAGATGTACGCCTTGCTGGGGTCGTTTGACCCCAGTACTATTTCCTGCTATGGCAGGGGGTCGGACTAGATGATCTACTCAGGTCCCTTCCAACCCTAGAAACTATGAAACTATGCAGAGCTCTACGTTCCACAAATGGAAGGTTTTTTTGGTGTAAACATGTTCTGAGTGAGTCATATTGTTATGGCTGATGATAAATATAGAACCCTGATTCTGGATCTTGACTCTTAAGTACAGGAAGAGCTAGTATCTTTTTCTTTTGCAAATCCATTCTTTAATTTTTTTTTTAATTAAATCAGCGGAATCATTGATTTGGGAATAGAAATAACTTAATGTTCTTTTCCATGCACTGATTCAGTACAGGCTATGAGTACGTAGTTAAGTCCATTCCTGTTCAGGAAATCACTGAAGCAGATGTTTAAATTAAGCATCTGAAGCAATGGTACAGGTTGAACCTCTAAACACTTCCTTTAGTGTTCTGTTCAATAGGAATGTATTTAAGCTTAAATGCTTTTACTCAGTCTTAGGCAGACAGGGTTCTTTGGGTGAATCTGATATCTTTTATTAGACCAACTAAATAGTTGGAGAACAATATTTAAGCAAGCTTTAACCTGCCTGACAGCTGACTTCCCAGATACTTCTCCACTATTCATCCCCTGTCTCCCCCCCCCGCCTGTCTCTCACCCATTGACTCCTCAGTCTACATTTTCACTGACTGCCTGTCTTGTATGCATACCAGCCCAGCCTCTGGCTTTTTTACTTTTCATTTCATCCAGGAAGAGCACACATCAACTGCTGAAACTTCCTTAGCTTGACGAAGGGTTTTTGAACCTGAAAGCTTGTTTGAATACTGTTCTCCAACTATTTAGTTGGTCTAATAAAAGATATCAGATTCACCCAAAGAACCTTGTCTGCCTATGTCCTTAGACCAACGCAGCTACAACCTACACCCCTTTATTCGGTCTTAGGGCTTCGGTGGTGTTTTTTAGAGCTTCATGCCTTTTTCAGTGTAAACCAAATAAACTTACTGTGTTTGAAACGCATAGAACTCTTCCAAATAGAGAATTCTAAAAATTATGTCCATTCTCTTTTCTTTTTATTGTAACAATGAATGAAAAACAGCAGAAGAACTGGTGTGGTGGAATTGGTTACTTCCCCTCTCTTGGGCCTAGAATTGCTATTAATCATAGAATCATAGAAGTAGGGTTGGAAGAGACCTTGTAGATCTTCAAGTCTGACCCCCCGCCTGAGCAGGAGAAAAATTGGGCTCAGAGCAGGAGAAAAACTGGCTGCCTACTCCAGCCAGGTAGGCATCAAGCCTCCTCTTAAAGACCCCCAGGGTAGGAGCCAGCACCACTTCCCTTGGAAGTTGGTTCCAGATCCTAGCCGCCCTAACTGTGAAGTAGTTCTTACGGATGTCTAATCTAAACCTACTCTCCAACAACTTGTAGCCGTTATTCCTTGTTATGCCAGGGGGCGCTAGGGGAAACGAGGTCTCTCCCAAACCCTTCTGGTCCCCCCAGTGAGTTTTATAGACGGTCACCAGGTCCCCCCTCAGCCTTCTCTTGTGAAGGCTGAACA